CGATATGGTCACACTAAAATTCAATGTAGGTCCAAACCACGCTGCTTTAAGTGTGGAGATGTTCATACAAGTGACTCTTGCAATAAAGATGATGACTGTGCTTTCTGTTTCCTTTGTTCTGGGTCACATTTTGCTATTAGCAAATCATGTCCTGAATGGGCTAGACAAAAACAAATAAAATTGACCATGGCACAAAACTGCATCTCATATGCAGAGGCTTCCAAAATGCTCCCCCCTGTCACTAAGTCTTATGTTGACATTCTTAAATCTGTTCCCTCTAGCACATATTCAGCTGAGTCTATGAGGCCACAACATTCTTTGTCATCACATATTAACCAACCATTGAAAAACTCATATAAAAAGACAGTTTCTTTAAAAACTCGACCTCTTCCCCATTTCAACAAAGGCTATGACAAAGCAGCTCATCAAGCTCTAATTAAGGACTTTGAAATGCCAATGTCGTCTAACGGATGTGCATTAACACCCAATGGGAATGAAAAACAAGACATATTTACAGATGTTGTAATTCCTTTAATTAATTCTTTGTTACTAAGTAAAATAATTTCACCGAACAACGTTGCTCAAACATTTGATATTCTTAAACAAATTCTTAACAATGGACAATCAAGCCAAAGTTATACAATGGAATTGCAGGAGCATAGTTAATAAAAAAAGTGAATTGATATATTTGATTAACAAATTTAATCCTTTCCTTATCTCTCTTTCGGAGACTTGGCTGCGGCCAAATTTATCATTTAATATGCAAGGATACATTTGCCATAGAAAAGACAGATTGGATGGATATGGTGGTGTAGCAATCTTAATTAAAAAAACTGTTATTTTCACGTATGTTCCACTGCCTCCACACTCTGATAACTTTTCGGCAATTGCGATTTCATACAATAATGTTTGTTATGTATCTATTTATGTTCCTCACCCATCTCAACAAGTTTTAAATGAAGTTAATCATCTCTTATCTTCACTGAAAAAGCCATTTTTGGTTATGGGTGATTTTAACTGTCATCATCAATCCTGGGGTAGCTCTTTTTCTAATCCTAATGGAGATCTAATGTTAGATATCCTTGATCATCATAATTTATGTGTTCTAAATACTTCAAAGCCGACAAGACGTACAGAACCGAATGAGAGTGTGAGTGCTGTAGATTTATCTATATGTACTCCCAATCTTTCTTCTGTTCTAGAGTGGGACATTTTGTCTTCTACTTATGGCAGTGATCATTTTCCAATAATTATTTCGTTTCCTTTCTATAACCTTCCAAATCAAAAAGTTCCGCGTTCACGTATGAAATACAGATTAAGTACTAAAGGCTGGCATACTTACAAAAGCAACACACTACAGAACGTTTCTACCTTGCCAGATGTCCAAAAATTTTATGAAATTGACTCCTATAATTCTTTTGTAAATTTTCTTAATAACGCTGCGGAACAAGCTTTTCCTTTAAAAGAAAATACCTACCAAAAAGCTTCACCCCCGCCATGGTGGGATAAAGAATGCTCTGAAGCTGTTAAAAAAAGAAAGACTGCAGAAAGACAATATTGTTCATCTATGACATCAGAAAATTTTGAAAGTTTTCAAGTTATAAGTACCAACACACACAAAATTTTAAAGATGAAGAAAATCGAAGGGTGGAAAAATTACTGTTCATCGATCTCTCCTAATACTAATCCTTCAGTTCTCTGGCAAAATATCAGACGATTCAGATGTAGTAAAATTAGTTCTCCCTCAATATCTCTTCCAATAGATCTTGCTGAAGATTTTACAGACCGACTTGCCCCCCCTTTTGCTCCAGAATTTCGCCACCCAAATTTAGAGTGTAATTTAAACGATCACTCCGAATTAGCCTCGCAGTTTTCTATGTCAGAATTAAAAGGCATATTATCATATCTTAAGGATTCTGCCCCTGGGGAGGATGGTATTATATACTCTTTTATTTCTTTTGTCTTACTTTTTAAATCTTTTAAATTCCATAGTAGCAACTAGCAATATACCAAAGTCTTGGCAAACACAGGAAATCATTGCTATTCTTAAACCCGGGAAACTTTCTACTGAGGCCACATCTTACAGGCCAATAGCATTATCATCTGTAATAGGTAAGCTTGCAGAACATTTAGTGAAAAACCGGCTTGAATGGCTTGCTGAAAATAAAAATATAATAGCAAGCAGTCAATTTGGTTTTAGGAAAGGAAGAGGTACGATAGATAGCTTGAGTATTTTAACTACTGATATAAGACTGGCGTTCACAAATAATAATTTCCTTCTATCTGCGTTTTTAGACATAAATTCTGCATATGATAGTGTTCTTCCGCATCTGTTACGGCAGAAATTAATTGATTTAAAAGTTCCAAAAATATTCATTAACTTCATTTATAACATGTTATATGAGAGGACTATACATATTTTTTTAGAAAATGGACATAAAATATCCAGGACGACTTGGAAAGGATTACCCCAGGGCTCTGTTCTTAGTCCGTTACTCTATAATATATACACATATGATTTAGAACATTTCCTTAATGGGTCTGCAAATATTCTACAGTATGCAGATGATTTACTTCTGTATGTTTCGGATGAATCTGCTCATAAAGCTTGTGAGTGCTTAAATTACTCTTTGCGTCTATTGAGTATTTGGAGTGAATCAAATGGTCTTGAATTGTCTGCCTCTAAAAGTACCACTGTAGTATTTTCCAGAAAACGTGTTCTTCCAAAAATCCACATTTCTTATAAAAATAGTCCAATTCCAGTTAAGAATAATGCAAAATTTTTAGGTCTAATATTGGACTCAAAACTTACTGGCATTCCGCATTTCGATTATGTAGTAGCAAAATGTGAACGTCAACTAAATATGTTAAGATGCCTTTCTGGTGTATGGTGGGGTGCGCACCCCATCTCCTTAAAGTTAGTTTACAACGCTATCATTAGAAGCATTGTAGATTATGGTACATTTTTATTGGAACCTTGTAACGCATCTGGTCTTAAACAAAATCGATTTAATTCAATCAAAAGCTTTACGAATAATATCTGGTGCAATGAAATCCAGTCCCATTAATGCTCTTCAATTAGAATGTGGAGATCCGCCGCTCCACTTAAGAAGACAATATTTAGCTGATAGATTCCTGTTTCGTTGTTTACAATTTTTAAACCATCCTTTAATAACAAAACTACAAACCTTATGTCAAGTCATTAATTCATCTTCGTATTGGAAACTCAAGGAATTGCCATGTCTTGTTAAAAGTTACCAAAAATATCTTGCTATTGAAGCCCCCATGTATCGTTCCAAAACTCTTCCACTGTTTGAAACCGATTATAAAATCTTGACTCTTACACCCTCCATAAAACTCAATGTTGGAATAAAAAAAGATGAAATAGAGATTCATACAGCTTTTAAATTCATTATTGAAAATAACTGGGAGAATTGGCACTATATATATAGTGATGCTTCTAAACATACCAATAATAGTTGTGTTGGGGTTGGAGTATTTCATTCTCAGTATAATATTGTACAAAAAATTAAATTACCTCCTGAATCATCAGTATTTACTGGGGAATGTTTTGGTCTATTTCGCGCAGTAGAATATATATTATTAACAAACTTATGTAAAGCTATAATTTTTACGGACTCTCTAAGTTCTTTACAAACATTAGCACATTTTCCGCTTAAATCAAAATGCCAATATCCTATAATTTTAGAAATAAGAAAATTGTTATACAAATGCCAAGTTAAAAAACATTACAGTAGTTTTTGCATGGATTCCCGGGCATAGCGGCATTAAAGGAAATGAAAAGGCAGACGAGTTAGCAAATGAAGCCGTGTTAAGCGGTGATATATATCCTTACACTAATTATTGTCACGATCTTCTTTCCTTGTCGAAGCGATATTTGAAAGAGTCCTGGGAACATTACTGGACATCTCCTAGCCTAGTGAAAGGAAAATTCTACTCCTCAATTCAACCGACAATTCCAAATAAGCCTTGGTACACTCAAGTCAATTTAAATAAATATTGTACTAGTTCTTTAATTCGTTTGCGATTAGGTCACTGCTGTTCTCCGTCTTTTCTGTTTAAGATTCATGTTGTAGATACTTCTTTATGTGCTTGTGGAACGGAAGAAGGAAATTTGAACCATATTTTCCTTTCTTGCCCATTATATGACCGCTCCTCTCTTTTTACTGATCTTCTATTGCTCCGGATACCTTTTCCTATTAATATACCATTCCTTTTAGCATATAACGACCCTTGTGTATATAAAACATTAGCTTCATTTATTCAGAAAAATGCTATAAAACTATAGTATAATTTGGTTAATAGGTTTATATATATAAATGTATGCGTATGTATGTGTGTATATATGGGTATATATATATATATATATATATATATATATATATATACATATATATGTGTGTATATATGTATATATATTATGTGTATTTGTGTAAATACGATATTAATAAAACTAAATATTCTATAATTAATAATACTTTATCACATTAAATATATGTATCGTTAATCTTCTGGATTATTTTACTTTTCCAAATTCCGCTACCTAGTCCTGTTGAAATAAAGTTTATTTCAACAAAACCACTGTTTCCTTCCTTTTACTTGTCATTGGCATAAAGGATAACAAAATGCCACAATAAAAAGAAAAAAAAAAAAAAAAAAAATTTTTGTAGGTCAAGGTCACATTTGAATTTCATAATTATCATATTCATGGGTATGAATACGAGTGATATTACGTCCATTTTATGATTAATAAAAAAAATAAAAGCAACAATATACATATAAATATATGCAATAGTTAGGTTTTGGTATAATTAGTTTCCCTTGCTCCTTTTACCTAGGATTACAAAAATAAATTTCATCATGGGTTATCAGTTACCGGATAACTAATTAGAATTGCCGATAAGATGGTTTATTAATTTATTTAATTTATTCAACACACAACGCTCGCGCCGTGTGGACGCCAGGCAGCACTTTCGAAAATGGCTAGTTTAATGACACGGAATAGTGTTTTTGCTGGAAAAATAGCAAAATATGTGAGTGACTGTACAAAAAGGCTTTCTTCACATTTTACTTACTATCCTGACAATGAAAAACCCGTTACGGGTAAGTTAATATTATTATTACTGTCCTTAATCTTTATCATAATATTTTAAGAATTTTTTTTTAAAACATGTCATCATGTTTCCTTTTATTTTAACAAAACCTTGCATTTTGCAACCTTCCTTCAAAAACAGCAAACAAGTTTTAGATAATTTAAGTAAAATATAGGAATCTACATGAAATAGGAACATGAGCATGTTTTTGCCCAGTAACTTTTTGATTATCTATATTGCGAATTAAAAGTTCTAGTAAATCTATATATAAATAGTATACATATATTGTATTATTTTATTATATTATATATAAATAGTATATTACCGAGGTGAATGGTTTGAATAATTAATATTAATCTTGATAGAAGATAGATAATATTTTATTCAAGTTTAATCAAAGTAATTAGATGTTATTCTTTAATTTTTTATAGTCAATAATACTAATACTGTAATATATATATGAACTTGAATAGTATTTCTTATTTACATTACCTACAGTTACATTATTGTATTGTGTGTAATTAAAAACTAAATAATAAATGAGAAGATTATATAAACAAGTTATAAAATCAAAAAATACATATTAAAATTATATGTTTACACAGGTGAAACAACTAAAATGAACATGATGCAAGCAATAAACAATGCAATGGACATTACACTGAAAGATGACCCAACTGCCGTTCTATTTGGTGAAGATGTTGCATTTGGCGGGGTTTTTAGATGCGCTCTTGGCTTGCAGGTGATTAAATGCAATGTCTCAGTACAATTCTGCTTTTATTCTAGTGTAAAACTGAAGTGATATATGGGGACATATTACTAAAGTGAAACTGATACAATATTATAAACTGTTTTTAATTCTTGCATTTGAGAGGAAGATCCATCACACACTACAATTATGTATGTTTTTATTTTAAATTTTAAGTAAAAAAACATTACAATACTCCTAGTTAAAGTCACAACAATATTAAGTATACACATATTGATATAGAAAAAAGTCTATGATAAGCTTTTAATCATTTTAATATTTCCAGGATAAATATGGTAAAGACAGAGTATTCAACACTCCGCTGTGTGAACAAGGCATTGCTGGTTTTGGCATAGGACTGGCAACGGCAGGGGCTACCGCCATTGCTGAAATACAGTTTGCTGATTATATATTTCCAGCTTTTGATCAGGTAACATAATATTAGTCATGAAGTAGCAATGAAAACATTTCAAAAGGAAAACTATATGAATGTCCTAACACTTGTGGCTGGTTCATATGTAATTTAAAAACTTATTTACTCTTACATATCAATAAATATAAACTTATTTAATGAATTTCTGGGATTTCCATATTGAAACCATTAAAGCAAGTAAAATTTATCACTTTTATATTAGAATACATTAGTTTTATTACATGAGGGAGTGCTATTTATTATTAATATCAACATTATTACAACACAATAACATTAATAAAGAAAACCTTGAGCATTAAGATATTGCCAAACATATTTTGAATATGAGTGTAATAAAATACATAAAACGAGATTTAATAGTTTGGGCCTAGCGATTGAAATGTTGCCCTCTGGAGTAAGCTATTTACTGAGATATGAGTTGTTTACTGTTCTTGCATTGGTATACGCCGACGGGCTCTATATGTATATATGAATTTCGCGGTTTTACACCAAATTCAGATTGTAAGACCCAGAATTGGTTTTATACAGGTGGTATAAATTACAAATACACAATGCATTAACAAGTTGATTGTCCATTTATAAGGACTTTTTTAGGATGTAAGCACTTTTTTAATGGTTGCAACAATGCATCTACGAAACATTTTAAGTACAGAATGTGTGAAAGTTTGAAAGGTTAAGCTTAAAAAGGCTGTAAAAATGCAGATGACTGAGGTGCTAAATTTGCTCTAGCGCACATTTAACGAAAGCTGTAAGAGAAGAGTTGATTGAGTTGAATGCCGTATGAGAGAACGATGGTCATTGCAGCTGGTGACCAAGGTGCTAAATTTTCCCGAGAGCAAATCTGACGGAGGCTGTTAAAGAGAAGGGTTGATTGCAGCTCGTTTAAAGGGTGAAGGCCGTAAGAGAGAAGGGGTGAATGCAGTTGGTTATAAGGGTGATGGCTATAAGAGGGAAGGGGTGATTGTAGCTGTTGAACGAGGTGCTCAATTTGCCCGAGAGCACATGTGATGAACACTGCAAGAGAGGCGTGATAGTAGCTCTTTTTAAGGGCGAAGGCCCTAAGAGAGATGGGGTGATTGCAGCTGGTGAACGAGGCGGCGAAGGCGCGCTACCGGTCGGGGGGCCAGTTCGAGTGCGGGGCGCTGACGGTGCGCGCGCCCTGCGGAGCGGTGGGCCACGGCGGGCTCTACCACTCGCAGAGCCCCGAGGCCTACTTCGCGCACACGCCGGGGCTCAGGGTGAGGGCTGATATAGGGGCAGGGTCAGCACAGACGACACCGCCAATGAACCAAGGATCTATGGTTCGGCAAACAACATCGCCAAGCAAACGGGAGGCCAGGGGATCGCACCTCAAATTTTTTTCCACAGAACTACTGTCAACTATGTACCAAGAAGTACATTTTTAATGACAAGAAACAAATCCTGCTTCAAATATCTCACGCACTGTATACATTGTCTATAGTAAAGAGAATAATAAGAGAAATTTCTAATATTGGAACTGAACACAATGTAAAATTTGTTTTATCCGAACAGGTTGTGGTGCCGAGAGGTCCCATCGCCGCCAAAGGGCTGCTGCTGTCCTGCATCAGAGAGCGGGACCCCTGTGTGTTCCTTGAGCCCAAGATCCTCTACCGCTCTGCTACGGAAGAGGTTCCGGTTGAAGACTACACACTGCCACTGGGAAAAGCTCAGGTTCTTAGAGAAGGTGCATATTTAGTTCACTGTTTGTTTTAATCAGCAGCTTTTATGATGGTACAAGATCACTAACTCATATATACTGAACATAAGTACAGAGAAGTTGCAATATTATTCACATACTTTTTCAGTAAATTAAGCTCTTGCCGGCCACTAAGTAGCATCAAGCTAGTGATGCTATAGACGTTGCTTGATTTTGTAGTGGCAGAAAACTCAGTAAAAATATCAAAGTTGCTAATATCAATAGCTGCCAACCATTAAGATGACCTGAAATACCAGAATAAGCCCATGATTTGTGATGATTAATTATTCACCATTTTATTACTTAATGCACTTGATGAAATATTATTATATTTAAATGTGTGTTAATTCCCATTTCAGGGGACGCTGCCACTCTTATCGGCTGGGGCACCCAGATTCACGTGCTGCTGGAGGTGGCAGAGATGGCGGAGAAAGATCTGGGGGTCCGCTGTGAAGTCATTGACCTCATGTCCATCTTACCCTGGGACGAGGACACAGTCTGCAATGTAAGAACAGACCCTTCCATAGTTAGACATTCCATAAGAAAGAAGGTAGGGGGTTAAACGAAATTAGGACGACTCCGTGGCGTAGTTGCCAAGGTATTGGCTTCGGCGCGAGGGATCGTGGGTTCGATTCCCACGAGTGACATCTATTTGTGTGAGCCACAGATAATTGTTCCGGATCCGGGTGCCACAGTGACCGCTGGCATTTACTACCAAACGCATTCCACACATAATACACAGACACAAAATAAGCAGTTAAATAATTTTTTCTGTTTCCAGTCAGTGAAGAAGACCGGTCGTTGCCTGATAGCTCATGAAGCACCCCTCACCAGCGGCTTCGGAGCAGAGTTGGCCGCCACAGTGCAGGTTCAATCTTTAACCCTATCACTATAAAAACTTTTAAATAAAATATTTTAACCCTATCCCTAAAACTACCACCTTTGTTTCACAACAATATTTGATATTGTTTGTGTATAAGGGAATATAGTTTATTATTCCATCCGCAGGAGGAATGCTTCCTGCACCTGGAGGCTCCGGTGTCCCGAGTGGCTGGCTGGGACGCTCCCTTCCCTCATGTCTTCGAGCCCTTCTATTTGCCGGACAAGTGGCGCTGCTTTTCAGCCCTCTCCGACCTCGTCTGCTACTGACAACACTCTCGGGACATCCCCAACCATATTGCAGTGAAAGCGCTGATTTTTTATTGATTTATGTATACACATATGATTGTTGGTTTAATGTTTAGTAACTCCTGATAAAGGAAAAAGTTTGTTAAACCGTAAGACTGTCATAAGTACTCTAGGATACTCCGTCAATTACAGGAAAATGTTGAATGTTAATATAACGAAAAGATTTTTTTTCATTCATTGTGAGTTTTAAACATCATTACTATTACTATTAATCAGTAAATAATTTTTAATTTCGACACACACCGTTACTTACAGAAATGACTGACTTACATGTGGTCAAATTGCTACCCCTATATAATGATTTACACAGTCATTGACAATTCTATACGTTTTTAATGTAAAACTTTTATATTTTAAACATATTTATATGGTATATTTTGTTTTTGTAATGTTTTTAATTGTAACTGTAATCTCAAATTGTACACTTTAACCTACTTTCAAAAGGAACAAAGTGAAACTTGTCTTGTGTAATAATTATTTTTTAGTAACTCATGTGAACAGTGAATATGCATTTTTTATTTATTTATGCCTATAATACTTACTAAAAGCAACTCCAAAGCAAAAAACATTTGTTGAGAACTTTTTATGTTATATGTTGCTATGGAACATTTCAACTCCAACAACAAAAGCTACCATGTCCCCAGCAATGAAGAAACTGTGAGAAAATCTGCATGACTGAGAAATTTGGTGTATATTGGTGTTGGTATCGCAGTTCTTATTATGTTACAAATTTTGTATTTTTTATTGATTAAATTAAAGATAAAAAAATCGTGTTTTTAATCACTATTTGTCCAGTGCGCTTTCTTTTCTTTTTTTTGAAACGGTTGGAGGTGCATTGTGTACACCTCGCCTAAAAAATGAGAAAAAATAAGATGTAAAGTATTGTATTGTGACCACATAACAGTATTCCTGTTACACCAATGGGCAGGTCCGTCCGGGTAAGTACCACGACTTAACAGAGGGTTGGCGTGAAGTGTTATACTTCTGCGTTTCGTCTGGTGAGTGAGGTAGCGGGAGCCTACATTATTAAAAGGTGTTTATCACTTAACATTGGGTGAACCACAAGGTCGCTTGTCACCTCAAAAACTTTTTAGGATTTTTGTGTCAATATTTTTCTATTTCTTCAAGTCGTTTTAATCCAATTGACCGGACAGGTGACGATATTAACAATAAAAACAATACAAATCAAGTCAGAGGTTAATAATGTTTGTCGAGATACCGGCATGACGGAAGTTTAGTTATTTCTTAGCAAGATTATCCATAGTTTACATAAATTACATAAGTAGTTCTATATAAATTATATTAAAAACTGTGTATATCTAATTTTAATGATTTTCGACAATTAATTATGCATGGTTTTTCAGCCCAAGAGAAGAGGTAGTAACATCTTTGGTCTGAAGTCCAGTAGACTATACTATGTTTAAAAATATATATATATTCAACATTGTCCAGCAAGTCTATTACAATTGCATGAGTTGATATACTTCATTTTCAATTGTTATTATTATGATAAGATTATCAATGTTATTCAAAAAAGGCTGTTTGTTCTCATTTTTAGATATCCTTAACATAAGGTTCAAAGTGTCAAATGGCAAACTTTGTTGGCAAATGTTAAACCAAAAATGAAACAACAATTTTCTGCTATTATTTATTAAAAAGTGAAAATCAATCAATAAAAATAACACTAGAAGATAATAGAATTTATAGTAAGAGGTACTTAAAATAAAATTAATGTCAATCTTACGAAATTAACACACCTGGTATCCATTGAATTACCCTAGTGTAAAAAAAACTGAATACCGCATTGATGTTTACAAAGCTATTTTCTGTTTAAACTTATGCTACTTAAAAACTATCACATTTAAAAACAACTTTTGTTATAAAAACAGGTATATTCACGTAACAAACACCTTTCCTACTCAAAGAAGCTTAGTCAAGTAACAAAAGTATTGAATATCAAATATCTTGTGATGACAATATTTACAAAATGTCAAGTGCAGAACCCTAAAAGTAAGGCAATTTTTTTCTCAAGTACATCTTAAAGCTAAATTTAATGTTATATATCTCTGATATAATTTTTACCTTGCTTTGAAATTATTAATAATTATTATAAGTATGTTAAGTGAGCATAGTGTAAATAGACTACATAAAAGAAAAGTATACAATGCGTTAATCAATTTAAATTTAATAATGACCAAATAATAACATCTCATTAATTTTGGACCGAGTATATAAAACTCTGAACACATTCAATTTCAATTATATTATGTTCACAAGTATTTTTTAGTTCTATATAACAAAAAGCAAAAAGACTGGGCAACTATTACACAGAAAATTAATTATTACAAATAATTAGAACAACCAGCAAGTTAAATTCAAAATAAATTAACCTGTCAAGCAAGTCTATGCGATTAGATCTTGCTGTTAAATAATGTTTGAAATAAAGCGCCCAACATGGACTCATAGAACACTTCTTATTCCTCCCATAAACGCCTTTGACGAGAAGGCTTAAGGAATGGTCCCATCGATGGGGAATTAGGGAACCTCTGCATGTATCTCTCTAAACGAAGGTATTTTACAGTTATAAGCCTGCCTTCATACCACCATCCATGTAAACTTCTATAAACGACTCCTGCATCTATGGGCGTTGCGCATTTGACATAAACGCAACATGAAGTCCTTTCTATATCAATATGCAGAATGTTGCATCGGTCACCGCATTTTTCTAGAATCGCATCCTGAATGACTGCTCTCAAGTTTGGGTTTGTGTCGTTTTTGTCAAACATATGGCGGATTTTAAGGCAAGGGGTCGGAGAGACCGTAAGATTATTAACAGAACCTTCTTGCGTTTCAAAAGCTTGACCCTGCCAAGCTGCACTGCGCTTTGGGCTCCCATGTGGTGATATCCATCTCCATACTCTGCAGTCTTCACCATCAACCGATTGGACCTCCATTCGCACTCTGCTTTCGTTTTTTTGGATGAATTTAACAGCTGCATCCCAAGTTGATGCCATCTTCTCCCTGTTTTGTGGGGAAATCAATGTGTCCCTAACATGGTCGACTGATATGTAGGGCTCACCACTGTCCTCTGTCTCTTGAGATATGATATCTATTATCTGCTCTACCATAGAGTAGATCTCTTCGTTTTTCTTTTTCTGATATCCAACATAGTACTTGTAGAGTCGTTGTAATCCGAGAATTATGACACCCATAAGTCCTACCACTATAAAAGTTGATCCAGCAGAGTACAAAGTATTAACAAACAAACAAGATATGGGTGTAGATGGATCTGTAAGTGTTAAGGCCACACTGCCTTTATTACGTTGTTGTACAACATTTTCCATGGCAGTAAGAGGTGTGTGCTCAACATCTTTTGTATATAGACTTTTTAATTGTACAACGGACAGTCCCCATCTAGGGTTGTTCACAATCAAAACTTGCAAATTGTTCAGATCTGTACGACATTGACTAATATCAACAGTCTCAGCTCTAGCACTGGCAATGTCAATGATTTCTTTTTCTGTTAGGTGCGGCATAACTCCTGGTTTTCCACATTTGTAAGAAGCTATTCTGGACGTGAGCTCTGGGTGTATGACTTTTAAAAGATCCTTTGCATAGCTAACTTGCTCCCTGGGTACACAATTTATGCCAGGCCTATTTCCAGGTATATTTAATTGACATATTGGTATTACACTATTTTGATCATCCACCACAGAAGTAATGTCATTTTTCTTAACTAGATACATAAAGAACAAGCAAAAAAAAAAAAGGGCAACCAATACAACAAGAGCAAGGGACACAAGATTATTCTTTAAGAATTTTTTGTCATTTACTGTTTTATAATCAACATCAGATCTTGGAACGCCAGAGATATAAGACCTGCGAGGTATGACTGTTGTTCCATTGTTAGTGTCACGGTCCAAAAATGTAGTAGTCTTAGGAGGCTCAGCCTTCAAAGATGACAAGCGACGGGTGAAATTGCTTAAATATGGAGATTCTACCTCATCCACAGATGATGTTGATGGCTGATAAGTATGTGCAGCATAGCTAGATGTGTAGTTACTAACAGAAGGCCTGTCTGCTAAAGAAGATGTTAAACCGAGTCGAGACCGTATAGAATTCAAATTATCTGAAGATGAGATTGTTGATGTGTAGTTAGGGGAAATAGATGGGCGAGAAAACAAAGAGGGCTTTGGTGGACTAGTGGCTGCATCATTAGTAGGCAATGTACTAGAAATGTAGTCACTAGACCTAGAGTTGCTTCTAAATGATGTATTTGTTTTCTTGTCGCTGTCAACATCACTATCAGAGCCGGTTTCGTAATCATCTTGATCATTTGTGTACGTGCGTTTGATGTGACGCGTCGTGACAGTTTCAACTTTTTCACGTATTCGCACCGGAGATTTTTCTTCTTCCGATTCTGAACCTTTGTCGGAGTCACGTTTGACGGGAGAATCCTTTTTAACGGGTAATCGACGAGTCTTATTGCTCGTTGGCGGTAGCATGGACCCGCCAGTGGTGGCACGTCGCCCGCGCTTCTCCTTGGAATTTGTGGCGTCTAAATCGGACTCCTCTCCACTAGAGTAACGCGCCAGCGACCGCCTGCTTTCTACTTTAGTGTCAACGCTGTTTCGCGGCTTGGTTTTATTGTCAAGAACGAGCTTTAGCTTTTTTACTAACAATTTTCTGGTAGAAGCAGTGATCGGCATAATAGGAAATCCATGCTCGGCTAGTTTTGTGCGGAGTTCCGCATCTGACATTGAATCTACCTGATCGGCCATTGTTGTATCTGCAAGAAAACGAACACAGTTATTTCATCTTCTGTCACAATAACACTCGTTGATGTATATATAAATAAAAAAATTTCACCTCAGTATCAGTGCACGAAATAAATATTACGTCAAGTCTATAAAATAAAAATTCACCGGCGCGTCATCTCGCACGCGCTTAGAACGTCGTTACATTCATTATTGAGTGTTGCCCTTGCCTTATCGCACATATTATATTTAAAATTAACTATGCCAACGCCAACCGACAATAAAATATTATTTTCATGATTTGAAAAATATTAAATTAACTTGTAGTCTTTTAATAAAAAAAGATAAAAAGGTATTTTTCCATTAGCTTCCGGGTGTTTTTCGACCTAAAATATATTTTATTCGGTAAAGAAAAATCTTACATGAAACTTGTTATTATGCAACGTTATATTCGTATCTATATTATATAGCACACCAACTCCATGTGGTGTTGTGGTCCCTACCCCTAGAGTGAACATAAAAAGGCGGAGCCAGAACCTCGCGTCGGAGGTCCTGAGTGGAGCGAAGGTCGAGGGGGTGAAGCGACACTCAGGGGCGACCTAGGGAGTGTTCTGGCGAAGCGCGTGGAAGAGTCAAATTTAATAATGAAATAATAAGTTTTGAATAATCTTTATATTTATTTTTTCTATAAAACAAAAAATTAAATCTATAAAAACGAAAATTTCCTAAGTAAGATGGAAAAACTTAGCAATTTTAATTAATAAATTTGGTAATGGTCCAGACTAGTGGCACAGGCTTTTTACTCTTATAAATATTTTTAAACGACAAAAAAACCATACCCATTACATAAAATAAAACAACCAAAATCTACGGAAACTTCTAGGTTCTGAGAAAATAAAAATTTATCTTGCAATTTTACACTGAATATTTTTTTTTTTACTTTGCGTACGAGATAGCTTAGAGTAGCTCAGTGTCCGGGCGCTCGCCTTTAATTCAATATACTCGAGCAACCTGAGTTCGATCCCCGGTGCCGGCACCAATGAAGTTTTTAACTTTAAGTGCTGACTTATCACGTGCTCCGCGGTGAAGGAAAACATCGTGAGGAAACCTGCATATTTTCGAAATAATAACAAAAAAAAAATATATTTCGAAGATATGTGAAGTCCGCCAACCCGCAGTGGGGCCGCGTGGTGGACTATGCCCTGATACGCTCTCTATAGAGGAGGCCTTTGCCCAGCAGTGGGACATGTATAGGCTGTTACTTTTTACTTTGCGTACGAGGTATTAATTTGTGTTAAATAAAGTCTATTTTAAGTTATATCAGTATAAAAAAAATATTACATATGCAATCGAGTACTGAAATCGATATTAGCATTTTGGCTGTATCGATATTTTAGTGCTTAATCATATGATTTTTCATGATCTTTATTCGTTTATATTTAAAAAAGAAAAGTATTTCCCGCTCATTTATATTTTCAATTTCACAAATAGTATTCGTGTTTGCAATGGTTGATAATATGAGTGAGTCCACTAGCACTAGTGAATTGTGTACATTTTGTAATTTAGATTGTTTTTCTTTTTATAAAATTATATTTGAATCTCAATCAGATCGATCAGTATCTACTTTTTAATTTTTAGTGTCGTCATGGAGTTCTTGATGTTCTTGTACAAAATTGTAAATGTGTGTGGACAAGGCTGTGTTTTAGATTTACAACGGATGATTTTTAAATTTAACAATATGATAATTAAATTATAGGAGAGGAGACGTCGGTGTGATAGTTCTTTTAGTATTTTTAAAAACTCTTTTTTTCAATAATGCTAGGTTACCATTTCAAAAAGTGTGTGAATTCGTAAATTTTTACTAGCGTGTCGCCATTCACGGCCGCTTAACAATAATTATTAACGAGTTACATATTTCATCAAGAACTTATGTTGACTGGGCAAGTTATATGTGAGAAGTTTTTATTGATTATTTATTTAGTGAATGAAACATTCACGACCAATAGGAGGAAAAAATGTAATTGTGGAGGTAGACGAAGCAAAATTCGGTCGTCGTAAATTTAATCGGGGCCCAATTATACAAGGCCAATGGGTTTTTGGCGGGCTGGGCGGCATCGAAAGGGGAAATAGAGCCAACCAGTTTTTTGTGTCAATATATTGAAGAAATACGTGTTACCGGAAACTGTGATTCACAGTGATTGCTGGAAAGCCTATGAAGACTTGAAAAGTGTAGGCTTCCAACATTTCACCAACATGAATCACAACCTGTACTTTGTAGACCTCGACACTGTCGCTCACACCCAAAACATAGAAAGACTTTGGCGGGATTTACGTGCAATTGTGCTTCAGTACGGTCGCCGTGAAGCTCACTTCATTGGCTACCTGGCTGAGGAGCGATTTTGTACGATTTTCCCCAAACCTGGAGAGCGGTTTCACTTTTTGGAAGGCTGTGACCGTCGTCTACCCGCCAATGGTATAAAAATGTGAGTATTTTAAATAGTTCCTTTAGTAGATTATATTTAACATCTTTTCAACAACAAAATTGCGGATTTCTTTAGTGCAAATAATAAGTTTAATTTATTTTTTAATTTATAACAAGTGTTTTTTCTCGAAAACTATAAGCGACCGCTGAATTCTGCTTGTTAAGTATTTCATTAATGATTTTGTTTACCGAATACATTTTTTTCCGGTTTTTCGGACGCTAATGTAAATTTTTACTCTACAAAGTTTGCGTGAGAACTGACAATTGTATTCACGATGTTTATTTTGTGATATCTATATAACTGTATTTAACTAGATAATGCGTTATAATAAAACTTTCAATTTATTAAATGCCTTTTTTCTCTTGTTAGTGTCGTTTTTTCTACAAACATAGAATAAGGCGAAAGATAAAATTTTTGAAAAGATTTTTATCTTGTTACGCCAAAGCCAAAGAAGTATAACTTCTAACGCGTGTACCTAAGTACACAGTTTTTTAATATGAAGTTAATTTGGGTTAACACGTACGCTCGTGCATATTGTCTATTACTTAGATTATTCATGTCTAGGATAAGGACTTGAAATTAAAAAGAATACATTTATCACGACATCATTTATTAATATTATTATAATAAATTACTTTCTAAAGAGCGTGTATACATATTCTATCTACACATATAATACCCAAAAACGTCAAAAAAGGTTTGTTATGACTTATGTACCTTTCAAGGTAGGTACTCAATATAAAAATATTTCAAGTAGGTAGAAAAATAGAAAAAAAAATGTTTTTGGTGTTTGTTTTTGATATTACGACGTTACAATAAAACTCAAAAATATCGAACGTCTACATTACAAAATTTTATATTTCAAATATTTTCCATGTCGAAAAATTGATAATTAAGCTAATTAACTTTTTGCTGTCACTACCCCTTAGTGACGTCACACTATCAGAGGCAAACTTAGCGCGAACGGGTAGTACAAATGGTTCCTATCAACATTAATTTCAATATATCTGAAACGGTGCCATTTTGAGATGACGAACTAGAAATCTATATTTGTAATATGATTAAATATGAAAATGTAAAAAATAAAATTACCTATAGTCACAGATAACATAAAACGTCATATTTACAAGTGGCCGATTATGAATGATTATAACGAGTACTTAACTTTTTTCATTATAGACAATAATTGTAGTTAAAAATTTTAAATTACAAAAAACAAATCAATAATTATTTTACCGGATTTTTTTTAAACAAGGTTTGACTGTACATTAAAGTAACAGCGAACGGGAACTCCATATCCAATGAAAATTTACTTTAGTCTCCGATACGATATTTGAGAGTCCCTATTAAATATTTTACATACACGATTCATACATTTCTATCATCGGATGACGATTATTTTTTCTGTAGACGCCCAATCCATTTCATAGATGATACCTTAAAGCTATTTTGTGAACAGGGGCTTAGAACTTAAGTAAGTTTGACTGTGGAATAGTATCTCATAACTTTGATCAAACACTAAGGTCCATCTCATCATCACTTACGTTTTCTAATACGTCCAGTAGAAAAGTCCACGTCATACATGTGGTTTACTTTTTTAGTTAGAAGATTTGAAAGTTTTTTATTTTTTTTAAATAAATAAATTAATTATTAAACGTTAACATTTTTTATTCTACGAAGGAGGTCTCCATCCGCCAAAACCCTCCTCTAACGCCTTCGCTACCGCCAAGCAAAGCCTGTCTTGGTAGGGGCCCGCGACGATCTGAAAGTAAATACAGAGTTATTAACGTTTGATTTGCGTCGATATACGATCAGATTCCATATGTAAATTATTAATTGTGAATGATCATTTTTATTTTATTTTATTGGGGATAACAAACAGCTACAATATATGACATGAACAGATCTGTTGCGTTGATGTAGTGTTAATATTGCAGCCCACTTACATTATCCACGTATTAAACATACAATATTATTTTAATGGAAGCTACTAGTTACGTTACAATAAAAAATAATAAATAGCACAAAGATAAAAAAAGAAACACTTGAAGAATACAAAAATACATAATTATTAAAAAGTATAGCTTAACTTATTTAATTAGTTCTTATAGTTCGATTTAGAGCATGCAAATATATCAATATCAACAAAATTGGAGTTATACGATTTAAGCATACGTTGTATAGGACATCGTAGTCTTGAATTTGTTCGTCAAGTAGTGATGGCAAAGAGAGTGCCCGGGCGAACTGTTCGTTTGTGGGTAGTACGAGGAACTACATAGCAGATCTTATTTGTTAAATCAAAATTGTTGTGCACAATAATATATAACACATTAGATTCTAAATATGTACGTCTTGCTTCAAGTGATAGCAATTTATAGTTGTTTAATAATTGTGAATATGATAAATTGGATTTCTTACATCTATATTGCATGGAGCGAAGAAACTTTCGTTGGACCTTCTCAATCTCGTTATTTGTAGTAAAAATGGTTCCAAATTGGTACATTATATTCAAGTTGGGACCATATAAGAGTTTTAAAGAGATAAAGGTCTGTTTGTGGCCTCTTAAACTCCGTCGATGATCTCATTACAAAACCGTACATTTTATACGCCTTATTAATAGTAGACTCGACATGCTGGTTAAGTGAAAGTTTACTGTCAATCAAAATTCCTAAATCTCTAACAACAGAAATATTATTCAAAACAGTGTTACAAAGATAATAATTAAATTTAATAATTTTTCTATTTTTCGTAAAATGAATATAGTTGCACTTAGGAATACTAAGTTGAAGTTTATTTTCCTTGCAATAAGTTGTGAATCTGTTTAAATCTTCCTGGACCATTTCGCAGTCTTTCTCAGAATTAACAGGTTTATTATATATATATGTTTATTATATGTTTCAAATCGTTCGCGTATAAGACAAAATTGGTGTTTTAAAACAGATTTTAATGTCATTTATATATAATACACAAAGAAGTAAACGAAAAAACGATATCAGATTGATAGCCATTTATTACCACTTTTTGAGTACGGTTTGTAATGTAAGATGCGATCATATATGACAATAAACTCGTTTAGTTTTTTAACAGACTTAAAAAAAACGAGGAGGTTTTCAATTCGGTTGTATTTCCTTATGTTTTTTACCTCAGATTTCCATCATTTATGAACAGCTTATAAAACTATTTTTGTATTGGGTTCAGTATAGCTCTTATTTCGTCCTATATTAATTTTATATAATTGTGTGTATCACATATATATCATTAAATTGAGAAAAAAATATTTTTCGAAGATATGTGAAACCCGCCAATCCGCAATGGGGCTGCGTGGTGGACTATGCCCTAATAGCTTCTGTACAGAGGAGACCTTTGCCAAGCAGTGGGACATTTATAGGCTGATATTTTTTACTTTATTTTCATATCAAGTCGGTTGCGCAAGTGTTTTTGCTTTGAAAATAATGTTAGATTTGATTTCCCTATTTTTGCTTAACGTTACGTTTTAGTGCATGAGAGGGTTTTAATGGGTGAGGGGGTTTAAATTGTTTATAGTGCTAATCTTTGCACTTAAGATTGAACATTAAAATATGTAGAAAAAGTGCGAAAAGATTGTCGCCGCTGTGGGAATCGAACCCACGTCTTCGGCATTCGCGGCCTGACGCTCTAGCCACTGAGCTGAAACGGCTGATTGCCACACCGACGAATCTTTTCGCACTTTTTCTACATATTTTAATGGGTGAGGGGGTTTTAGTGCGTGAAGGGTTTTTAGTTGATGAGGGGGGTTTTAATGCGTGAAGGGTTTTTAGCGGGTGAGGGGGTCAACCTGCACGGCCAGGGGCAGCCCCCCAGCGGCGGCGAGCGGCGCCGCGGCGGCGGGCAGGCGCAGCACGTTGAGCGGCATCGCGTAGAGCACGCCGGGCGCGCGCCAGAAGACGCGGCCGTGTCGGTGCGCCGCGCCCACGTGCGCCGGCCACACCACCACGCCGTCCGCGCCCAGCGCGCGCTGCCCTTCGCGTGGGCCAACTCAATACCGCCGCGAGCCTTTCACCACCTTTTCGCAAGGTGGGCCGGACCTGCCCATTCGCGCAACGGCCGAGACTGCTGCGTGGCCCCACCACCGTAAAAGGCTTCAGCCTATACATCGTCGTATCCGACGATATTTATCATGTCGGTTTAAGGGATTTCTTCATACGGACTATTCATTATCAGTTGCACCGCCATTTTTTACTTCTTTGTATTTTATTATCATTATTTTAGTTTAGCGGCTTGAGATTCCTCGATGAGGCCTATTCATCAACATCATTTTACGTTGACATCGTCATTTGTCATATTCCGCAAAATTTCCCCGATATGGTTAACACAGGGTTAGGGGGTTTCCTCACCAAAATGGGGGGGGGGGGGGGGTTGTTAAACAAACGCGTTGGCATTTTTTTAGGGGCGTTACATTTTTAGATGGTTTTTTAGGGAGTTTTTTTCACTTGTTACATTTTTACGATCTATTTCTTATTATTTTATTAAAAAAAAAAAGGTATAGAGATAAATGTTTGCACTAGCGGCTTAGCGACATTTAGTAGTAGTTCATTGCTAAGAATGCGGAGTTGAACTATGGAAAGTATAGATAAAAGTTTAAAGTGTCTGTCAAAACGCATTCAATAGTGGTAGCGTAGGATAAATTTTAAAGAAAGCGCCAAAAGTAATTATTTTTTTGACATCATTCGTTATGAATTAAATTTTTTGAAATTACGGTAGAAATATTGGCCTTCTAAAGAAATCATGACACAATTTTTTATTATGTAACAACATTTTTGTTGCAAAATACTTAGCTGTATTACCATTCATGTGGAAATTAAAGCACAAACCTTTGCACAACTTATTATTTATACTTTTTTTAATAATATTATGTTATTAGGGGATTTTGGGATTTTTGACTTGCACTTTAGGGATAAATATTTTCGAGAGTTGGTAACACTGGGTTAACAACGGCCAGTGACACTACTCAAAACTCAAACATTTTCAATTACTCATGGTGAAGTATTTGACAACAAAATAATTAATGAACTGATTTTTATTAGGGCTTCTGTCAGCGCAAAATGTTTATTACTTATGTGAAATTGTATTTACGTTGTGAAAAATATTTTTTAAACATAAAAATTATTAAAATATAACAACGTATAAATTAAAGAGGAATAAAACTAATACACCTATTATAGATCCATACCGTCATTTCTTCTCGTAGCAAATCAGCCTTTTTTTCGTAATATCTGCGCCTCGATTCCGGTATGAACAGTTTCGTCCTGTTTATAAGTGCGAAACCCAGTCCCTGAAGAGATCGACTCGCTCCGCCAAACATGTACTTTATTAGCTCCACTATTAGGCTTTTATCGCGCTACAAAAAGATAAAAAAATTACAAGTTTAAATTAAAAAGTCATAATATGTATTTAAAACAAATATTGATTTGATTTATTGTAGCAAAATACTTTTCCCGCGCTTTGATGTTCGAACTTTTCAGTTTTGAACGAGATTGGATTTTTTAAATCATCAAACTATTACGTATTTAAATATGAAAATATTATTTATCTTAACTTTGTCCCATATTTAATATATCTTTCCATGATTGAATGTATATATCATTACAAATGTTTTTCGGTGCTCTGAGTATTTGAAACTGCTTCCCCCGGGATAAGCGTCAGACGCTCTACTCGCTGAGCTAAATGGTCTATCTCCACACCAACGCGAATCTCAGCGTATTTTATCTACTTTGTTTTTATTACATTTTTAAGCAATATTCGGCGTCATGTATTCTATAAATTTTCAAAGATAAAGTCAGGGCACGTCGTCTATAATACTGGTATAGCAAGTTTATATTTATATAATAGTCAATTATACTTACGTATAATTATATAGTTACATAATTGATTATTGGGCATTTATTTTAATAAACATATATGTTTATTTAATTTTAATGTTAATATTATAAAGTTTTATTGTCAAAAAATATTCTCAATATGATTTCATAATAAATTCACATATGTATTTAATACATACTTTAGGGTTGGCAGGGTCCTGTAGCAGATTGGGAATGTCTTTCATAGAGAAAAACACTGATATGGACATCTCCACTGAATCCTCCAATTCTTTGAATTTTCTCTGAAAATAAATTACATTGGGTTATATAAATATCAGAAAAAAAAGTTTATTCAACTGTACAGATCCTTAGACAATATTTTATTATATTTTAGAGTTGTACCCTTAATAAGTGACTGTTAAAAGGAGCTGTTTGTACATAAAAAAATAGTATATAGGTATAGTATAATAGTATAAGATTGGTCTTTTGAATTGTAACAGGGAAAGCATCAAGTAGTAATGGAATTCGTTATGATATTAAGTTATGCTATACGCATAGCTCAATGTATGTACATATAGCGGGTTTAATTTCCAGGGGTATAATTGTGCATTGTGTCAGTGATTCAGTGAGTTTAGGATAGTTGATACGAGTCTGGGTGTGCTTTATGTCAATGTTTGTGTCTGTATGATAGTTGATACGAGTCTGGGTGTGCTTTATGTCAGTGTTTGCGTGTGTAGGATAGTTGATACGAGTCTGGGTGTGCTTTATGTCAGTGTTTGCGTGTGTAGGATAGTTGATACGAGTCTGGGTGTGCTTTATGTCAGTGTTTGCGTGTGTACGATAGTTGATACAAGTCTGGGTGTGCTTTATGTCAGGGCTTGCGTGTGTAGGATAGTTGATACGAGTCTGGGTGTGCTTTATATCAGTGTTTGTGTGTGTAGGATAATCGATACGAGTCTGGGTGTACATTATGTCGGTGTTTGTGTGTGTGCGCAAGGTGGTGGCACCTCGACAATCTGCGCGCCGCACTGGTCCCGCAGATAGGAGACTGCCGCCAGGATGGCCTCTTTGATTCCGCCCTCTACGCTGCTCATCGCCAGCGAACGCGACGCCTCGGTCATGTAGTGCACCTGCAAGGGAAGTTCCGGCTTCGATTTCAACGTTTGCGAGTTGACCCCTTAAGGGTGTAGCAATAGCATAGCTCAATGTACATATAGCGGATTTATTAACTCTAGGGTAGGGGGACATTATAGTAATATTTATATTTTCAATTAGATAGTCGACTTCTCTGAAATTTAATGGGATCTATTTAGGTATCGAAATATATTTTACTCTTTTTTATGTTACTTAGTAATCTCTAGTTTTTGTGAGGTAACAGTTTTCAATGTTTACTACAATTTTAATGCACATGTTTGTTGTTGATTTGATTACACCGTGAATTATTATACTAGTTTCAGTTTTTATGTACACAAAATTTATATGAATGTTTAAATAAAGGGTGATGTTATGTGACTTAAAATTTTATACAAAAACTTTATGCTTATAAATGGGGACTCGGGTATTTAATTTCGGCGAAGAAGCCATGGTATCATCATCTTGAAAGGGATAGTTGGACAAATTATGTAAAAGACATATAAAGGTGGTAAATTATCGTCTTGTTATTTATTTGAAGTTTTCATTTGTTTCCGATCGTTAAAAACAAAAGTAGTACTACAAAGATGATTGTTTTTTGGACTAAAAACTATTAAAATTTTTATCTGATATAGGTACGTGATTATAACTATTAAACATACGTGAGAAATATTTTCTATATTCGGGTGAACTTACCCTTATTTTTGACAAATCCACGGGCTCGTCCAGATTTAGCAGGTGGCTCTTGTCACCAGCCATGACCTTCATTAGGAGGGGCAGGTCTTCCGCGTGGCGGCACATCGGCCCCACAGTCAGCAGTTTGGGATACTTCTCGTCCGTCAGCGTAGGGATGTGGCCGTCTATCGGGATTATACCTGTAGGACCGATTCGTTGTCACCCTATCTTGTGACGTATTTAAAAACAAACAGCATGTCTTTGTCAGATAATCTCCTGCAGTTCGTAGAAAGAGTACAATTTTTCTGGACTTGTTAAGACCCTACAAATATCACACCGGATACTGAGCGATCCGGACACTGAGCTATCACTACTCATCACTTATGAGTGATGAGTCGTGATAGCTTAGTGTACAGGCGCTCGGTTTTAATTCAATATACTCGAGCAACCTGAGTTCGATCCCCGGTGCCGATGCCAATGAAATTGCTCATTTATATGCTGACTTGTCACGTATTTTGTGGTGAATGAAAAAAATCGTGAATTGCATATTTTCGGAATAATACTGGTGCTATGTCCTGATATATATAGGCTGTTACTTTTATGAGTAATGTGTAATGATTAAATATATAATAATTATAATGCAATGCAAAACGTGGAAATATAATATTGTTGCAACATACCTACGTAGCACGTACCTAAGTAATCGCGTATACGTTCCTTGCAGGCATTTCACTTAATTCAAATTAATAAATTTATAGACACTTTATTCAAATGTTGTGAATCGTAAAATGCAATCGCTTCTCCCTAATACAAGAGATTCGGGTTTTCGCGATATGGAATATGAGAAAAGTAAGTTAGCGTGCCATTGGTCGATCGAAGTCTGCATTTAAAATAGTCGAACCATATGTATTTTCTGTTAGGTCTAAATTTTTGGTTGTATATATATATATATATATATATATATATATATATATAAAACGGTTTTATAAGTTTGTCGTGTCTGCCCGTGTATCTGTCTGGCTCTGTGGCATCGTAGCTTCTACACGAATGGGCCGATTATGTTGCGGTTTTCTTTTGTTTGACAGCTGACGTGCTCTAGATGGTTCTTAGCTATGAATTGAAGGTTTGTTGGCTCACCTGGCGTGGGCTTGTGTCCGAAGATGCCGCAGAATGCCGCCGGGATGCGGATGGAGCCGGCAATGTCCGACGACACGCTCAAAGGGGACGCCCCGCTGGCGAGCAACGCGGCCTGAACAGAGGTTAACCTTATCACGTTGTGTTTGTCACACAACAAAAGACCACGACGAATTTATTACGTTGTATTTGTCACACACACACACGACAAAAGATTACGACGAATCGACTAGAACATGATTACAGATCAGTGGAAAGAGAAGCCTCGTTATTAGTCATATGTTCTCCGTTTTCAGCCGACTTCGAAAAAGGAGGAATTTCTTGATTCGGTTGTATATTTTTTAATTTTATTTACTCAGAACTGTTTATGAACCGATTTTAAAAATACTTTTTGCATTAGGTCCGGTTTAGTTCCCATGTAATTACATAGTGAAATATTTTATTGATATACAGCGTGTCGTTACAACCGCGTCAATAAATGAACAAACAAACTAATTAAATAGAAAAGAAACAAAATTTGTAACACCTATACAACTAAAAGTGACTGATTCATACATTCAGAGACTTTTACATTTGTTGCCACAGCGTCGCATTAAAAGCCTCTCCTTCTAACAGTATGTTTTATCTCTTTTAAATTCATTCAACCCATTCATATGCTTTGTGACCTTTACAAATGACTTACGTTACAGTTTTATACGTAAGGGTGTTCTAAAAATGTTTGTTTTGTAAAATTTAATAACTCGGTAAATATTGATGTTTATAGAATGTAAATGCTTCATACAATTTTTAAAAGTTATCCTCTATATGTGTGTTCATTTATTGTCGCGGTAGTAACGACACGCTGTATATCAAATATTTTAATTGTGATAAATGAATTTTAAGTTAGATATTTAAAGTAGCTTTCGTTTATTTGTTAATAATTAAGTACACACTCTTTTAGACAATTAAAACCATCTCAAATAAACAATAGAAAATGAATGGGTAGTTGACAAGCTATTGGCTTGGGGCACAGGGGCGCATGGGTTCGATTCCTAGACTGGTCAAATATTTTTGTGACCCACGGAACGGGACAAGTATTGTTTCGGATCTGGGTGCTTACTGCCTGGAAGGGTTGACGTCTGGCAGGCGGCCGGTCGTTGAGAAACCTTAACCATCTTGATTCAGATGTTGAGACGATCCTACCAAGGCGGTATAAATGTAGGAGAAAGAAGAAGATCCGGTAGAAACATCAGTAGAAAGTTCGAGAGAAGGCTCGTCAGTAGAGTCGGGTTCTACTTGTTTTTGCTGCGCCTTGCGATATTGTTATCGTAGGTTACCTAATATTTTTGTATGTGATAAGGGGGCAAGCGAGCAGGCGGTTCATCTGATGTCAAGTGATAACCGCCACCCATTGAAATTTGCAACACCCGAAGGGTTGCAGATGCGTTGCCACTTTATACTAAAGTAGGACCCGGCTCACGAGACTCACGACTCACCAGAGGTAACGCAGAAGTGTAACACTTCCACTTCTCTCCGGTCTTCTGTGAGGTCGTGGTAATTACCCGGACGAGCCTGCCCAATCGTGCAACAGAGAACTCGCGTCGCCTTAGCAGTCAAATAATACACAAAATGGCGTCTTATCATCTCTTATTACTGTAAATCGCTATGAAGAATTGAAAGACAAAGAGAAACTCAGTGCTTATTAAGAAATGCAAACACTGGAAGACGAATCACAAAGACCTCATTGTTGTATTCGGTTAACGGTAAAAATGTTTACCTCCTCGCAATTTGACTGTTGTATCATTTAGTATCACTGTAATGTCACAAAAGATTAAAAAAACTTCGATACGTTGAGCAGGTTAATAGGATTTTACCAATTATATTATTAATTTTACGAATAAAGAGCAGATATTAATTAATCGTGTGTTAAATCGCTTTTCCACGACGAGTTTTATTTACACGTGACGTATTGCTCTAGTAGAGGACACACATGACCATTCTTAAATCTTTGCTTTTATAACACAATCCAAGTAAGGTATTCATCTGAACAACATTTATTTAAAGATGACTAAAAATCAACTTGAAAACTTCATTCATTTAATATTTTTCGCCTTTCCACCAAGTCTACTACGATCATTCGTCAGTTACAGCAAACTACAATAGTAGTAACATAGCCCCAAAGTAACGTGCCATCTTACAACCGAGCTATGCCAGTAGAAACAATCGTAACCTGTTATCGTAAATCGTTATTCCATCAGCCGTTACAGACGTTTCTAGATGTTTGTAAACGTTTCAGACGTTTTTAGATGTTCTCGGCTCACTAGCCGAATTAAGTTACCAGTATATACGAAAAATGAAAATACCACTGTATAAGATCGCGCTTTAAAAGTTTTTATGCATGAGGGACTGAAAACCTTTAAATTGCCGCACGAGATGACGCGAGACCCTCTATAACTGTTTACAGCTTGGCGAGAGGCGAGATGGGAAAGTTGCACAAATAATAATGTGGCATTGAAAAATGTCATACGAACAAAAGTTTAAAAATACGGTATTGAAAAATGAAAAGTATTAGTCTTAACTGTGGTAGGACCATGCAACAGTATTCGCTGTTGCAAGAATGGGCAGGTCCGTCCGGGTTAGTACCACGACCTCACAGAAGACCAGCATAAAGTTACACTTCTGCGTTTTCTCTGGTGAGTGAGGTAGCCGGGGTCCTCATTATTAAAAGGTGGCAACACATCTGCAACCGGCGTTGCAAATGTCCGTCACTTAACATCAATTGAAACGCCAGCTCGTTTGCCACTTTTTCACATAAAAAAATACAAACAAATTAGTCTAAAATTTCATCTCATACAAATTTGTCATTCTGTTTTTATGTTATTTCACCTTTTGTTTTTTGTTCATTTTTGTATACGTTAACGCTAAGCTTATAATTATGTATTTCGTTAAATTAATATTGTAGGTGGAAATGAGCTGTGTTTACAGAGAGACTGTAACTTATAACTGGAGAAAAAAAACATAAATTTGTAAAAGTTCTTTACAAATAAATTTTAGATTAACAAATCAAAGCGTATATAAACAACATATCAAAAACTGTCAGAGGCAGGCGGTTCACCTGATGTTAAGTAGTTTCCGCTGCTCGTGGACATCTTCAAAACTTGAAACCTTGCAGATGCGTTTACAAACTTTTAATAAGTGGGCCTGGGTTACCTCACTATACCAACGAAACGGAAGGAATGTATTATTCTTCCACTTCACGCCGCTCTTCTGTAAGGGTCAGCTTCAATCGACTGCCTCTATTTTATTAATAGCATAACTTTTGGCCGTAACATAACATCCGTGATAGCCCAGTGTCCGGGCGCTCGCTTTAATTCTATTTACTCGAGCAACATGAGTTCGATCCCCGGTGCCAGGTCCAATGAAATTGTTAATTTTAAGTAAGTATCTTTCACCGCTAAACACGAAAGTTCTGTACTTTCGTGTTTAGCGGTGAAAGATAAAACCATGACTTGCATATTTTCGAAATAATAGTAAAAAAAATGTTTCGAAAAGAAGAAGAAGAAGAAGTTCGCCAATCCGCAGTGGGGTCGCGTGGTGGACTATCCCCGGATACCCTCCGTATAGAGGTGGTCCAGCAGTGTCCAGCACTGGGACATCAATAGGCTGTTACTTTACTTTTTTCGTATAACTTTTGGGACGTTGAGCGCGAAAGATGGTCTTTAATATCTCGGAGACTTTTTATTCATCGAGGAAGCAACCATGTAACATAGTCGCAAACATATGTTTAGCACAGATGTTTGTTTTTCTCATTATCGATACAGACGTATCTGTAAAGGAACATGTAACTATACTGCTGCCCGGTTTCTGAAACACTGATCATCGCAGAAGTCAAATAATCCGCTGTCAAATGGATTTTCAAATGTTATTTGAAATTTTAATTTCGTTCATTAAGATCATTCTATTCAGAGAGTTTAACAACCCTTTTGGCAACTCGAATAACATTTGAAAATCCATTTGACAGCTGATTAGTTGAGATGATCAGTGCTTCAGAAACCGGTCGTGAGTGAGGGTTCACGCTAAAACTTCTGGTAGGAGTATCGACGAGCGACTTAACGTCACGTGTCATTGTCTCACTCATCGGACGAAACGCAAAACTGTAATATCACTGCTTCACTTCGTCTTCAGTGAAGGCGAAGTGAAGTAAGCGAATGACTTTCCGGCGGTACGGTGGTAGAGCAATACAACAATGTTCGCTGTTGCACGAATGGGCAGGTCCGTCCGGATTAGCACCACGACCTCACAGAAGACCGGCAAAGAAGTAGAAGTGTTATACATTTGCGTTTCCTCTGGTGAGTGAGGTAGCCGGGGCCCGCTTTATTAAAAGATGGCAACACATCTGCAACCCTACGGATGCTGCAAACGTCCATGGGCAGGTTATCACTTAACATCAGGTGACCAGCTCGTTTTCCACTTTGTCACATAAAAAACAGTAGACTGCTGTTTGGCTATGGCAGTAACTATTTACGACAGTATACAATAGTCAGGCGCCCGGTTCTCCGTTGTCACCTTAGATGGTACTTGACCTTGGACTTTGCGTGTTTACCCAATATAGGTAATGTACCTATATTGGGTAAACACGCAAAGTGAAGTAAAGTGATACAGCAAACACGCCTTTTAAAAGTAAAGATCATTAAAGCAACAGGGCAAAGGCCTCCTCTGTACAGAGGGTATTAGAACATAGTCCATCACGCGGCCCCACTGCGGAATGGCGGACTTCACATACCTTGGAAATATATTTTTTTGTTATTATTACGAAAATATGCAAGTCACAATTTTAACTTTCACCGCTAAACACGTGATAAGTCAGTACAGAAAATTAACAATTTCATTGGTACCGGCACTGAGATTTAACTAAGATGCAAGTTTCCTCGCGATGTTTTCCTTCACCGCTGAACTCTTAAACGAGAAACCTGCGGTAGACACCTGCATTTATGTTGGATATAATAACAAAAATAAATGTGCCAATCCGCAGTGGGGTCGTGTGGCGGACTATGTCCTAATACCCTCTGCTGTACAAAGGAGGCCTTTGCCCGGCAGGGACATGTACAGGGACAGTCTGTACCTCTATTCCAGGCATGGTCTTACGGTGGTAGGGCCACGCAGCAGCCTCGGCTGTTGCACGAATGGGCAAATACAGACCTCACAGAAGACCGGCGTAAAGTGGAAGTATGACAAATACAGTCTGAGTTAGCCAGCCCAATTCTCATACCTTTGTCAACGCATCTGTAACCCTTGGCAGATGTCTGGTATTCACTTAACATCAGGTGAACCGTCTGCTCGTTTGACAACTTTTCGCAAAAAAAAAAAAAAAAAAAAAAATAACCTAACGACGTACTCGTACAGAATAAATAATGAGTTTACTTAGTGTAGTGTAAACAGTTATGGACTTAGGTAATCGTTTGCTCGGCCTGTGATGGCTTGGCATGCGTAATACTAACACACTACTAATTCTTATATTTACGCGAAAACGACCCACTGTTAAATAAAACTAATAATGAGGTTTTTTATGCCGTCAGTAATAAAAGTATTTAACAATTAGTTTTATGGTTATACGTGACCGTGCCTTAATTCTGGGCGTTTAAACTGTAGGCAGTTTAAAACCCAAGTACATATTTTAACCGACTTCAAAAAGGAGGAGATTTTTAATTCGGTTATATGTTTCTTTTTCATGTTTGTTACCTCGGAACTCCATCAGCAGATAAGTAGTTTTTGGCATGTATAGTTATAAGATAATGTGTTAAGTGATTATAATCATAGTGTTGTATTATAATCATCTATATATGTAGTATCTATCTACATATGTATTATTAACACATTTACTATGTCAAACACTCACTTATCGGCTGTGAGCGTAAAATTCTTAAAAAGGGATGCACAATTTTAGCTGTATGTTATTAGATAAATGTTACGAACATATCGGAGGCCATGTCTCTCGATATCCAGTCTTTTTGCTATGGGTCACGCAACAGTCTTCGCTGTTGCACGAATGGGCAAGTCCGTCCGGTAAGTACCACGAACTCACAGAAGACCGGCATGAAGTGGAAGTGTTATGTTTTTACGTTTCGTCCGGTGAGTGAGGTAGCCGGGGCTCATTTTATCAAAAGGCGGCAACGCATCTGCAACCCCACGGGCGTTGCAAATGTCAATGGACGGCGGTTGGCACTACAACCAGGACCGTAAGCTCGTTTGCCACCTTCCCCCATAAAAAAGTCCTATAAATAGCTAACGTCGTGCTTCCTCTCTGGTGTTTATAATTGTGATTAACTATGGATCAATGTGTTTTCGGTAATAACAGACGACGTCCCGATCAAATATTCTTATGTTCTTAGGTGCAGACGATGAGAATGTGGAGTCTACGCCTGAGCGAGGTTTCACGAACAACGAAGATGTGCCTCGTGAGCCTAGCATGGAGCCTGGGCTCTCCCGTTCAGTGTGTGTTCCAGCAGCAGGAGACACAGGAGCACGAGGACGTCCTCAAGTCAGGAGAGGCCGTGTTAGAGCAATAGTGAGACAACATCACCATGGAAGGAAGTGTGCGGCACCGTTAACTTGTTTTAAGAAGAAAACCTCTGCCCGATGGAAAATGTCAAACTGCTTATGTTCCTATTTTGTATTGGATAAAATGGGGTCTCATGTAATTTTCTTACAGAATTAGTAAGAACTTGAATTGTTTTGGTTTTTGTAATTGATTTTGCTTTATTGAAACATAAAAGTGTCATAGTTTGTGTTTATTGTTTCTTTAAATTACATTCCACCTCTGGTTCCTAACCTTCCTTCCGTATCTGCGCAGGTTCGAATGCCATTTGCGAGCTCTAAAGAGATTTCGATATTCGGATTCGCCGCGAGCTAAAACCACTCGCCGATCCAGGTCACTCCGTGACTTAGGTTAAGTACAAACAGCTCGTTTTGTTCACTTGGTAATCCGTCGTGGTGAATTTACCGTTTCGCCGTTGGGAGAGCGAGTGACCACAGTGCGGCAATGAAAAATGTATGTTTACGGCAATCGCTTTATAATGGGCATCATATCGTGCGCAACATGTCTACACGTTTGGAAGTCTGCCAGGATCGAGCCTTGATGGCAATCTTTTAGATATCCGAGGCCACAACTGGCGCTTTGTACACGGCATTAAGAGTTTCTCGCGATGTTTAAACCAGTATAATTAAATAAAAATAATGAAAACCCCCATAAGATAAAAAATAACAGCCTAAATAATGTGTTCGCCACATATCTATCGATACGTGAAGCTGGGCGCTCGCCTTTAATTCAATATACTCGAGCAACCTGAGTTCGATCCCCGGTGCCGGCACCAATGAAGTTTTTAACTTTAATTGCTCACTCTTCACGTGCTCCGCGGTGAAGGAAAGCATCGTTGCATATTTTCGAAATAATAACAAAAAAATATATATATATATATATTTCGAGGATATGTGAAGTCCGCCAATCCGCAGTGGGGCCGCGTGGTGGACTATGCCCTGATACCCTCTGTATAGAGGAGGCCTTTGCCCAGCAGTGGGACATGTATAGGCTGTTACTTTACTTTACTTTTTATTAGCGGGGCCCTTCATACTGTGCTTAATTATGGTAAATTTTTGCACAACTAAAAATAACTGTGGTAGGGCCACTCACTCTTCTTCGCTCAGTCTTCGCTGTTGCACGAATGGGCAGGTCCGTCCGAGTAAGGACCACGATCTCACAGGAGACCGGCGTGAAGTTGAAGTGTTACACTTTGCGTTTCGTCTGGTGAGTGAGTTAGCCGGGGCAAACTTTATTAAAGGCTACGCATCTGCAACCCCACGGATGTTAGAATTATCAATGGGCGACGGTTCTCACTTAACATCAGGTGAACCCCAAGCTCGTTTGCCACCTTCACATAAAAAAAATTATATTTCATTTCAATTCAGGTCACAATCGCCGTTATACAATTCCAAAAATAGCTCGTTCCCCTCTCGCGGTGTCCGATATTGCGAATGCAAATATACGGCGACAAATTTAAATTCGCCATCGGGATCTCGCAATAACAGCGCATGAATTATCCATGCATGGCCCGCGTTATAACGTATTTGCTGAGCGGTACACCCGTTTCAAGTATTTAAATAAACGAGAATCGTTTTAGTGGACTAGCAAACAATCACTTGTATTTAATCGGCATCACTTGTTATTTATTGAGAACCTTCAGTTAAGTTATCTTGACATGAGGACTGTAAACGTCTGCGTCAGATCATGGATGTTTCAAGCATTCGAAATGTAATTTATAGTTTTTATAAATCGCTCGACTGATTTCTATAGAATTAAAATTGAACCACTTGCAAATTATATATATTCTCTTTGAAATCAAAATAGAATTTTCCATATCCATTTAGACATCATGGACTAATCGGTAAATATTCATAGAAAAAGAGATTCCAAGGAATTCAGTACTTCTTCATTTTTTAATGTCGGTTAAAAACTGGTCATGATAAAAAGTTTAGGGGCCGTAATGCCGTAAATGTAAATTTATGTGCGTTTTGTTTTCTTTATGCATTTATCTCTTTTAGACTATTGAATGTATTACTAAAGTAAGGTTTATGCTTAAACATAATGCTCGTATATAGGCAGTTATTCAGCATGTTTTCCTAGTCGATTTCCGACTTTGGTTACGTATTGATAAAATCATCGTTAAAGCCGGTTCAAAGTTAAAATACATAATTTCTTTATATACGGTTCTTTATATAGAGATAGGTACAAGAACGTTTGGATCTTAATATCCCAGTATAAATTGCACACTACAGCCATAAAATGCACCTGTGGTTATAAGCTAGCCTCAAGCGCCATTTACATACATGATTACCACCGGTGCAAACAAGAACATGAATTTTAGTGTAGTTCCTTCCTATTAAATGAAAACGCTATATAGAAGTAAGTAGTAGTCTCCTTTATAATATATCACCCTAGTTTCTTTTTACCTTTATTTCAGATTTCTAAACAGAACAAACCTGAATAAACAGACCATCTGGCAACCCAACGGGCGTTGCTAATGTTTATGGACGGCGGATGTCACTGATCATCAGGTGAACCGCCAGCTCGCTTTAGACCTTCTCATATCAAAATGTATCAGAAATTGATTTTTATACGCCTACACTCTCTGCACTAAGATGATACATTAAAATTTGCAGAAAAAAAAATCCAAAATTTCTCCGGCGCTGCGGGGAGTCGAACCCGCGTCGTCAGGAATTAGATTATAGCTTAGTCAAAGCGTCAGGTCGCGAATCCCGAAGGCGTAAGACGTTTCGCCAATTCCCCTGCAATTTCCTAAGTAACGGAAGCGCGCCAAAGCTCACCTCGCCGCCGGACGAGCCGCCCGGCGTGTGGTCCAGGCTGTAGGGGTTGTTGGTGGCCGGGCGCAGCAGGTTGGTGCTCTCCCAGCCGAGGCAGAGCTCGGGCGTGTTGCTGACCAGCAGCGGCACGGCGCCCGCCGCCCTGGTGGCCCTCACCGCGCCCCCGTCCCGCGCCGCGCGCCGCCCCGCCGCCTCCAGGCAGCCCACGGAGCTGGACAGACCTGCCACCAACGCTCTTCGCCAGTATGTCTGGCCAGTGTCACTGTTTTCTGTGGTGGGGCCACACAGCAGCCCCGGCTGTTGCACGAATGGGCAGGCCCGTCCGGGTGAGTAGCACGACCTCGCAGAAGAACGGCGTGAAGTGTAATACTTTCGCGTTTCGTCAGGTAAGTGAGGTAGCCGGAGCCCAATTTTCCAAATGGTTGTCGACGCATCTGCGACCTCCGGGTGTAGATGTCCATGGACGGCGGTATTCAGTTAACATTAGGTGAACCGCCAGCTCGCTTGGAATCTTTTCACATAAAAAAAAAATATCATCCAAGACTTGGGGTCAACGGTGGGACCACGCAACAGTCTTCGCCGTTGCACTAATATGCAGGTCCGGGTAAGTGCCTCGACTATACAGAAGAACAGCGTGAAGTGGATGTGTTACACTTCTGCGTATCGTCCGGTGAGTGAGGTAACCAGAGTTCCATACGGAAGTTGTAAATGTTCATGGGCAAGCGGTTATCACTTAGCCAGCTCGCTTGCCATCTCATATAAAAAACTACACCAAAGAAGGTCGTTTCTCATACCGCTTGTTTAGCTGGCTGTTGATCAGCAAGAGAAGCAAAGTCGTCAATCATAAATGGCTTCGCTAACGTCGCATCGGTGATCTTCGCTATCCCAAACATAAAATATGGCGACCAGCTACTGGTTTCGGAAAAAGAACTTAAAAGAGTTCTTTCCACATTAAGAGAGAATCATCTGTACCCAGTTCTGGAAGCTTTGCAGCACTTACTTTTGGCGAAATTAAAAACAAAGTCGTGCTCGCGTCGGTACGATTGGTATCAATAGCAATAGACCTTCACCGAGCACCGCTATCGAACCGTCACGTTGTCATCTATTCAGTGAAACTTCTACGGTTTTCCTACTTACAGTCTCCGATCTCGAAAGTTCAATGAAAACCTACCTCTATTCAAGTTGGGAGTAATGTACTTAAGGTATTATTGAGTTTTTTAAAAGCGCCTACTATATCCAAAGTTACTATGCCTACTTTTCTTCAATAGCAATCATCACATGCCGTCATCATCTACTCCGTGGAGTTTTCATGAGTGTTATTCTTGCTAACCCAAGAAAATAAAGAAGTAATATAATTATCCGTAACGAATAAATTGACTCATCTCAATGTGAGACTCGGGTGGAAGAGTAACATTGTTCCAGTTATCGTGGCTAATACAAGCCTATAAGCGAATACTCAAGACAAGATATTTACAAAGGCAAACTGAACTCACCAGCCAGCGAGCAGCTCTCTTTGACAGTGAACGGTACTCCGTACAGCGGTTTATCCTTCAGCAGTTCTTCTAACGTGCCTCTCTCTCTCGCTTCCTGCAGCTGCCGGTCCAACGCCTTTGCTTCTTCGATGGCATCGCTGTACCTCTCGTCGACGACTGCGTTCAGGTAAGGGTCGACTTCTTTCACCCGCTCGATAAACGTAACCACCACCTGCTCGCTTGTCAGCTGTGGGGGAAATATTTATAAAGAAATTGCAAAGTTAATGCAATGTTTAACTGAAGTAGAGCCACGCAACAGTCTTAGCTATTGGGCGACTGGGCCGGTCCGTCCAGTACCGGTGAGTACCACGACCTCACAGAAGACCGGCGTGAAGTAGAAGTGTTGCGTTTCGTTTGGCGACTGAGATAGCCGGGGCCCACTTAATTAAAAGGTGGCAATGCATCTGCAACTCTACTTCTCAAATAATGAAAAGTAATCGATATGGTGGTCTGTTGCTGTGGAGGTAATATTGATTATTTTAATCTTGCAAGGCAATGATTAAATGTACCAATTAATTATTAGAAAAAATACTTTATTTCACAATACAGGACAAAAAGATTTTATAATCTCACAAGCTATGTAGGCAGTTCCGAGGACTCGCATATGTATTCCGTTACAAAGCACGTTATCGCACATACAAATCGGTGACTACAATCGGACAATACAAAATCTGTCCCTCCTCGTTCCCATACAGAGTTGTGCGGACAATTTTGCATCGAGGATGGACACTGATTAAATTTTATGATAAGAATCAATGTTGCCTCTTCGTTTGTTGATCTAATAAAAATAAATGTATTTTCTATTATGCTTAACTGTCTAACTTTTAACCGAATTCAAAGAAAGGAGGACAACTCAATTCGATTGGTATATTAATTTTATTGTTGCGATAAAAGTTTGATGAGTTAATGCCGAACGCTAGCGAATGTTTTGTAGTTGATCGGAAGTTATTAAAATATATATTCGGCACTTAAAATGACGGGCCACATCCATAGCTGACGCCGCGAGTCAAAATTGATATGGTAACTAAAAAAGCCCTAAGTGCTCTCTCTGCGTAAGAACATAAACGCTGTACAATAATACAAATGTAATAAAAGGCATTTGAACGAGATTAGACAAGGCCTCCAATGCAGTACAGTGCAAGACAGTGGGGGGAATTGAGCTATTAATCTAAAGTGAATGATAGACCTGCCACCTGATAACAGTTATTCACTTTACAAACTTCCCTCTTGGATCATTTGTAGTTACTACAAATAGGTACACATCTTTATCCCCACCGTAAAGTAGCTTAAAACGTGTACACGGCCCGTGATAACTTTAAGTCCGGGTGCTCGCTTTTAACTCAATATACTCGAGTTCGATTCCCGGTGTCGGCCCCAATGAAATTTTTAATTTTAAATGATGACTTATCACGTGCGCAGCGGTGTAGGGAACATCACGAGGAAACCTGCATATTTACGAAATAATAACAAAAAAAAAGCTATTTCAAACATATGTGAAGTCGGAAACGTCGGGAACTAAAATTAAAAACAAACGCGATAAATCCGTAAAATTAGTTTCATTTATAATGTGTAATCGCGTAAATACAAGAAATTATTATTCCGATAAGGTCGCGCCCTCACTCTCCCTGAACAGTCCGCTCACCTCTCCGGTTCTGATGCCCCTCGCGAGGTCGGTGGCGCTTCTCAACAGCAGGGGGTCCCGGATGGGCGGCAGGCGGCGGGGGTCGCGAGGCCGCAGCCAGTACAGCGGCGCCAGGATAAAGTCAAGCACTCTTAGCAGCACGCCGATCAGCCATACACCCACCTCCATGCTGACAACGAAATGGACGATAAATACGGCCGGGATATGGCCCCTTTTGCGTCAACACATCAATAAATATAATACGGTTGCGTTAGATTATATTCAGTTCCATTTTCGTTATCCTCCTTTCTCCCTCATCCCATACTTAGAAATTCGCTGTCGTTTCAATTATTCACATAAAAGAATTTTCTTTAGGAAAGAAAGATGGATGCAACCGAGAGGATTCTCTGGGAACATATTTGTATGTAAGTAAAGAGTAAACAGCAGCAGAGAACAATAACTCTCAGAGGTAAATAGAGGGTATTAGGTATATAAAAAACAAATATCCCATCACGCAACCCCCTTGCGGATTAGCAGACTAACTTCGAAATACATTTTTTGTTATTATTTCGAAAATATTTAGGTTTATTCATGATGTTTTCTTTTATCGCTGAGCACGTGATAACTCGGGATTTAAAATTAACGTGCCAATCTGTATTTATTTGGCGTGGCGAAATATGATCGAATACATTGCAGATAGAAGACCTTTGTTTGTCAATGGGACGGATAATGTATGCGCTGTTTCTGTACTCAAATGTATTTGTATATATGTAAAAGCCTTTGCATTTGTATACGTAATCAACTTTTACTCCTCTCTCGAAACGTTTCATAAATACTTCAGTTTTTACATCCATAAAGATTATTACGATTCAGCTGTAATAATATTTCATCCGTAAACATTATAATTAATAAGACGACAAAATAATAAATATACCAAACGACATGAAAAAGAACAATTATTTACGCTTGGTTATTGTTTTACTCCGGAACCATAATCATGAGGCGTTATGACAGACCATAGTAATATAGTGAAACGAGTGTGTACCGTAGCACAATAAGTTATGATCCATAACGTTATGCCCTTCGAGTAGTCGCATTGATGGGGTCAGGCGCGTTGGGAATATCAAACGGTGTCCGCTCTGTACATACCGCCAGACGTACAGAGAAGGTCAAATAAAACTTCACACTTCTTTTCGAGTTTCAATAACTATCAAAATACTTAGAAGCGGGATTTCCGTAAACATGCAATAAAACCGATGTTTTTTTTTAGATAATTATAGTAGAATAGATTACACTTAAAAATGTGTGCTGTATAAATTTACGGACTTGTACTACCAGAAGTACATGGGAGCAAATCAGCTTTATGGAATACAATTATTGCGTTCGTATTACTAATATACGACGCATATCTACTAGAGATCTTACGAGTCACCACGCGACCCCACTGCGGATTGGCGGATTTCACATATATTCGAATGTTTTTTTTTTTATTATTTCGAAATATGCAGGTTTCCTCACGATGTTTTAGGTTTATGCATAACAGCTGTGAAAATCTATTTATTTTTGGCTTGAAGACATTCACGCCGTGAAAGATACTGTGAAAAGGAATTATATCTTCAATTATTTTGCTGTAGGCGTCACGAATTATGGACCACATCATTAATAATCACCATATTTTTTAAGATTCCCATTTCTGATTTAAACTCAACACAGATTTAAAATTAACTTTATTAATATTATCTCAGACCAGATAAATATCTAAATTGAAGAACGAATTTGGTCTTAAATTTACGAAAAACAAAATAATGTATCGATTTTCTTACATATAATGCTTAAAACATTTTCTTTCTTCTCTATTCAAACAATAGATTTTATTCAAATCCTTGGAAACATCACGAATATTCTTAAATATTCTAGATACCATATTTATTCTCACTGTTGGAATGTTTAAAAGAATTGTTGTCATTATATTATCGCGTAACTATAACCGCGCGTAGGATTAATCAAGATAATTTTAAATTATTTGAACATACTTCCGTATGGTTTATGAATTTTTTTTTTACATTTGGAAAACATTGAGTAATGAATTGTGTGAGAAAATTAATACGGACAAAAAGCAAATTGCTTGGGATTTGATAATAATCGCGTTCGTATCTCAGTGTTTTTCAAAAAAGGGTTTATTTACAAATATAATATGTCAGATTTCATGTAGTAAAACACAAACAAAAGATATAGATCATAAATAAAGCATCACAAGAATTAAGCTACTCAGTAAATTTCAACAATGTCTCTTCCGTCCTTTATTTTATTTTTCCTTCAGTAGATTGAAATAAGTAAACGATCGCAGATATGCCAATTCTATACAAATTGGCATTTCTGCGATCTTAAAAATCAATCCTTTATGAATGAAAATCTCGTGATGTATAAGGGGTTTTCTCAACACCCCCCAAATTCGTTACCAGGACCATTTAGAGGTCTGGAGTTTACTAGTCTGAATTTGATTTTTTTTCCGAGGACTATTGTGGTTTCTAAGTGGGGGCCCCAGGGTTGTTGCTCCGGTTGCCCTCCCCTAAATCCGGCCCTGTCCGTTACATTAACTACTGACGCCGCGTTGTCGCCCACCATTAGCGCTACGAGTACATCTTTGCGAGCTCGGTTTAACAACGTATTTGCTTTACCGTGCCATAAACATTTCGCATAATACAACGGTTCATTAACGGTGTCGGGTCGTTCGTGACACCCGCATTTAATATGAATAATCTGTCCACATTGTCTCGCTTATCGGGATTGTGGTTGTTTTGTGGAATCAAAAGGTACTAACCTGACTGTAGGTCGTTTAGAAGTTTCACGTCGGATTTCAATATAAACGTGATGCTAACTAACCATTTCCTTCTGTTTCGACTTGATTTACATATGTTGAGATAAGAAAATTAAATAATAATAGTTAAACACTAATTAAAAAGTAGCGTTGATTTAGTGAAATAAATAAAATCGACTAGAAGTACACAATAAGTACAGCACATAACAAATGACAAACAGATAACAGACGATTTCAATATCAAGTAAACAAAGATAACAGGGATTAAGGTAAAAATATTTCGTCGCAATCTCTTTATATAAAACTACGAATAAAGGAATTTTTTTTTCTCTTCTCCAAATTGACGTTTTCGCAATGCTAAACGCACGGTCACCTTCGCAGTGGAATAAATTGCGACGCGGGTGGTGTGCACATTTTTCGTACATGTTACACATGTAATGAGCTTGCTTGCACGCATTGGCCATAGCTAATCGAGATGAACAAGCGGTGTCAAAGTAACCCGCATCACAAGTAGGTCTCCTATTGATCTGAACTCTCTACCTTTCAAAACCTTTTATGGGACAATATCTACACGTTTTTAAAGAAAAAGCCCAGAAAACGTTCAAAATGAATCGGTAGCTAAGTTAAAGAAGATTATAACCTTAGTGACTATTTACATAACAATTATATATTAAGATATCTTCGCAGTATATCGTGTTATTTGCAATAAATGGCGCTTCCATTGCAATTCGTGCATTCATAGCAAGTTTTTGATTGATCATTCGTTAATTGACCTAATTACTTGTCACCTCACTCCATCCGAACAATTTCGAGCATTTTCAATTAGTCCATCTGGCAGTCGAAGCACGTAAGAAGCGCGGCCGCGTGACAGACGTTGCTCCAATAAACCAATGTTGCGACGGAAAACGTAACTGCCGAGCAAACCTATTGAATTAGCATTCCATCTGGCAACGGGCACGCAGACCTAATGGCGATTTGGTAAACAAACGTGCATCACAAACATCACTCTCAGGTCAAACGAGCTAGTTTAGATAAAAGATCTTAGAGTCAAATGTCTAGGTGGAGTATTATTTACCAACAATGGAGGTGGTCCCTATAAATTGTTACTATACATTAAATCTGGACAAAATAAAAAATCTGCAGAGGGTTCTGTTGAAGCCACTTTAACATAATTACACCTACATATTTTACCTGGATCAGATGGTAAATAAGAAAGCAACGATGCTTTATTCGTATATTTCGTATATCGATAAAGATATAGATCGATCTAAGAGTATGCATGCTTGGGCTTGCATGCTATCCATATGTGGCATCTGAGATAGACATAAATAAAGTTACGGTCATCAACTCATTCACTAATAGACACGGCAATCCATCGGATTTCGGTCAATTATTACTAGTTCTTGACGTTTTATCTGATCGGGAACGGTAATTATTGACTGGCAGTTATCATCTTTATAGCTGAAACTTTGAATTCGCATAGTTTCAGTTGCGTTGGATGATAGAAAATGGATATCTTAAACATATTCTCTCTGGTAGTTCTAATGATTGCCCTTGCCCAGGTTGCCTTTACTGCATGCGTGGCAAATACAGACAGAGGCTAAGCAAGTATTACGTCAATGTTTACCCGGTTGTAAAATTAGATATAAATAGACACGGACGTCTCCGTTGATGGATACGTCGTGTTTGGACTGTTAAGAATGTCGTAACGGTGGTAGGGCAGCCTCAGCTGTTGCACGAATGGGCAAGCTCGTCCGGGTAAGTACCACGACTTCACAGAAGACCAGTGTAAAGTGGAAGTATGACATATTATGACTCTAAACTAAAACACGGGATATCCGTAATAGGAAAGTGGCTTGGAACAGAGTCGGCATCCGCAAAAGCTTAAAGGACACAATTTCGTGGTGGTTTCCACATGGTGTCACGTCTGTGCCACTGTGTGTATTGTGAAAGATACGCTTAATTACGGTGGATAAAAGAAAATCGAAAGGCGAGGGTTATCGCCTTGACGGAACATTAACGATCTCTCTAAGTGGCGTGTCTAATGGAAACTGGGTTTTATTTTACTTCTTAACGGTACTCGTCTCTGTACTCTGTTTGCACTGGTAGATAATTTTCTATATCAAAATTCCCTGTTCATTTTTCGAATTTTACACACTAACCGCCCAGCATGTAAGCTGCTAGCCTTGTAACTGAGATGAAAGTATAATATTTGCTATTCACGCCGTTCGTCTATGAGGCCATGGTACATCCTTGTTGCCCTAACAAATTTAGTATCCAATACATGACTACTTCTATATGATTTTATTTTAAACAATTACTGTTAAAATATTAATTATACTTTGTCGAAATTCACCCCAGAACCAAAAAA